GTCGTCGCACTACTACTCCAAGTCATCATTGTTAGTGTTACTGTCATGATTGTTATCAGTTACGACTACGACGAAGACGACGACGACGACTACTACTACTACTACTACCACCACTGCTACTACTACTTCTACTACGACAACAACAACAACTACTCTTGTTGTGCTCCAGCGAATAATCATGAATTAACGTTAAAATCTCTGTGAGCTTTCGTTGTCCATGGCCTACCGTCAAGTTCTGCACAGTCGGAAGGACGAATCCTGGAATGGCTGGGACATTCGCAGCGCCCAGACCGTTTCTTGACTTCATGGTGGGTTGGAGGGTCGATGGACAGTGGTCGGAAGCGCCTTTCCCACGCAAGGCTTCAACACGGAGCGGGTAGAGCTGCAGGCCTCGCTGGAGCTTATGACTGATTGCGGCTTGACCCTGTGCCGGCAAGGCCCCAGCACAGCTTGCGCCCAAAGCCCGTGCGCGTCCAATGATCGAGCATTCTTGCGCCGCTCGAAGCAAAGTGGGAGATTCTCCACTCAGGATCTCCGGAGGTGAGCCGTCTAAAGCCAGGCATGGCAGCCCGGTAGGATGCCTGTGCGAGATTGTTGCATGTGAGCAATCCTGTGCAGCTCCGCGAGCGGATGCCGCAGCGACTGATGAATCCGAATCATCCGCCACAGAGAGCAGGACTCCAACCCACATCTGGGTGCGTGGTTTGAATTTGGTGGCACCATTGACAGGAGTAGCAGCCCATCTCGAAGTCCTTCTCCAATTATGGCACCGGCCGTTGTTTGTTGCTGAGCATACTAACGGCAGCACGTGATGAGACTTTCACGAGAATGTGCAGCACGTTTGACGTGAGTCGACAGTTGATGCCAGCCGCACAGCCGCATTCAAGCTCGATGTAAGTTCCAGTTCGAACACGGCAACAAAAACTGAGCATGAGATGGTGGAGTCCTGGTGTACTGAACCTAAGTGGCACTGCCGATGGCCTGGTCTTTCCCTTTTTTGGCGTTCATTATGTGCTATGTCGCTGCAATGTGTACGCCCGCAAAACCGCCTGGAATGAAGTGCTGATTGAGCTTCATGGCCTCGGGGTGATATCTGAGAACACCCTTCATCTTCAATCACAAATCTGGCTCTCACATGAAATCGCTGCATCGTGATTTTATTGACATTGTGCCTCTCTGCGGGGACAAAATCGCAAACACTGTCCTGCATAACCTTCGTATCGGCTTGTTGTGGTTTGAGTGCTTGATGGCACGGCTTCGTTACCGCTGGGGCGAGCATGTGAGCATGTCTACACCTTGAAGCTGGGCCTTTTGTACTTGTGGGCGAGAGTCTTTGGGCATAGGCGAGCGTCGGGGACGGCGAGGGCAGGTGTGGAAGCGCCATTGTTAACAGACCAAAGCTCGAGAGCTACCCAGACAGTTATTTTTCAAAAGGTTGGTGCAGTCTTACCTCGCGTAATAATTGGTCACTGACTTTTCTGACTTCAAGATCTCTGCCAAAATGCGGCTTGCCTCGAGGCCTCGAGCATGTGCTTTCAGGACAAGGGCTGACAAACGCTCGTCTTGAAAATGGGCCACCCGATTCGGCTCTTGCTTGAGGCTGGTCTGTTGCGGTTCTCCGCAGTATTGTTTGCTTTGTGAAGTTCAACATGTTGCTCCTGCCACACTGCATAGCATATGTTGGGGTGCGACTCAGTGTTTCCACCTGCCTAGCCCGCCAGTCCTGTATGTTTTCACCTTCCCGAGTCCGCATTCTTGGCTCTACGAATCTCCACGATTGCGACGTTTCGATAGGCCTGACAGGAGGTGGTTGGAAATACTGTCTTTTACGGGGAAGATCGGAATATGTTAAGGATCGGGAATATCTGAGTTTAGGGAAGAAGATGCAAATAGCAGGAACACACAGGATTGTGTGAACAATGAACATCTCTGTGGTTTTGCATCGAAGCCCTAGGGCTTCGCACCGAAATCTTACTTAATAAACATAGGGAAGACAAGGAATGGGATTCGGTCGAAAATTAACCATTCCTTGATTCGTGCATCGAGACTGTGGGATTCGCATCCACATGTGTTTTCCAATTTTAAATCGGGCCAATGGTGTTGTTGAAAATGAACAATTTGCCTTCTATTTTTTTCGATTCCCGCATCGGTAACCCAGGGTTTCGCTTCAAAATCCTGTTTGAATCTTGTTCTCCTCCGGTTTTCCTGACTTAGGAGAAATATGGGTGAGAAATAGGGAACACATACTGTAGGGGAAATTAGGGAAACAAGAGAGGATTAGAATAAGAAAAGAACATGCTTTTGTCGAAAACGAATCATTTGCGGTGTGTTTTTTGATGTTCGTTGTGTAGCACAATTGTGTGCGAAGTGACAACTCATTGCTTTCATCAATCCTCGACCAAGTCCGTGGATGTGCATGAGTCGACTATTTCGAACTTGATGCATTCCGTTGCCATTTTGGTATAAGCTTCGAACTGAAACTTTTATTCTTCGGTTGTCTCCCTCCTCGATTTACTGCGAAGTCATGGCAGCAAGGCGAAGCAACTCCTTGTTTGAATTCCTCTGCGAAGGTCGACTTGAGGATTGATTTATTTCTCTGAGAATGCCTCTGTGCCGCCGAGCATACTGCGGCAGTTCCCCGAGGAAGTGAGTTCTACCGAATTCATCTGCCTGAAGAATACCCGGCTGCAGGTGTGTCCTCGTTTTCTCGAGTCCAAGAATTGCGACAACAGGACCAACTGCCATTTCTTGCACGTCGAGTTCCTCAATCAAATGGATTGTCCCCGACTTGATTTGCCACAAGTGGTTCCAAGGGGTCTGCATGTATGCGATGAGTTGCTGGAATCAGCACGGTGTCACCTACGATGAAACAATGAGGGGTGCTGTTAAACTATAGTCCCAACCAACTCCGAGGCGATCGAGCTCGTTTTGCTTGCGATATGGCAGAAGACTACATCTGCAATGCGATGGCCGAGTTCGGCCTCCAAGACATTCGGAAATGGCGATTCGGCACCAATTTCACGTTGTGCTACAACTACACGACAGGGGATGTCTCCGAGGATGCGATTCAGCCTGCAGACGTCTGTCAGACCGCGGAACCGCACCGGGAGGCCGAGGACATTCCCTTCGCCGATCAACTTCGAGGGCATTGACGAGACCTCAAGCCGCATCTTGTTCGGATATAAGGCGACGTCGAATACGGGAGATCGCTATTTCAGCGGCCCCGCGGTGGAGACAGACTCCGAATGCATCCTTTGCGCCACAGTTTGGTGCTACCCGGTCTTCTTTCCGCCAGGCGATGTCGAGGACCGAGGACAGCTGAGTTCTACAACGCGAGCTCCGTCCGAACGATGGATGGAGCCACCATCGAGCACACCATCATTGTCCAGATCGACGAATCCCCCGTGGTGACACCTCCGAGAACCACCCCGGTTAACCCGACAGTCGTCGACCATCTGTGGAGCCAGGTAAAGGACGCGGTGCAACAAGCTCGAGCACTTCGAGCTGCTTCGCGTCAGGCCCGCGAGGACCCCTACGTTTCCGAGAGGATCAACATCCCCGAAGTCTTCGTCTTCCACCGAGGTGATCCAAGTGAAGGCGATGCCCAAGGCGCCGATCTACCTCGGTCTCAGTGCCCGCCCTTCTTCGAGTACTTCGTTCACTCTGACGGTTTCACCGGATTTAACGCCTACCCTCGAAGCTAGGCCCCAGTGGATTCAGCAGCCTCCTAGCACAAACCCCCATGGTTCCAGCGCCGATGCCCCCCTCGACTACATCTTCGATTCCGGCACCGATGAGCCCATACACTTCGTCGCCGCCGACACACCGAGCCACCCTCACGAATTTCGGGTTGTTTGTGGCTCTCCCCTTGCACGCTCCGAACAACGACATCCTTCAGGAGAGGGTCCTCTTCATCGGTGGTCCGAAGCTTACGTGGGCGATGCCCGAACACCGAGATGAGACCCTGAAAGACTTCCGAAACAACACCTACGCAGCCACGACCCAGAAGTCCCGCGACTCTAGGTGGAAGCTCTGCTATCCAAGGCCTGGGTCCTCGATGTGTCGGGAAGACTCGTCGATGCAACAGGGGCCAGCCTATTCCCCGGGGGATACAAGACGACGAAGCTAATCTTCAGCCAAGCTCGAAAAGAACATGTGCCGAACACATACACCGCTGTACCTCCCGAAGTAGCTCTCCGAAAGGCTCAAGTCGGACGAGCAGTCGAAAGAGGACGAGGGCCGGCGAAGCCCAATTCTTTTTTTGTCGAGGACGTTATCAGGATCATCGAGATCACATCCGAGTTCGAAGGAACACATTCTCACATAATCGAATACCGCGTCCACGCGGTCATCATTTGTTGTTGGTGGCTCCTGCGCGGCAGCGAAGCTCCGTCGGTTAAGCTGAACCAAGCCTGGACCGAGATCACCCACTCCGACAGGACCGCGTTTATCACTTTGCCTTGTGCCAAAACGGACATCGTCGGCTTGTGTGTGACACGCTCACACCCGTGCAGCTGTCACCGATCACCCCGGTTGTGGCCTTTTCATGCACTACGTCGCCATCTAGAATCTAGATCGGATGAATGCTCTTGGTTGCCCCGACGATTCACGGCTCTTCCCAGGCACCGATCGTTAGCCCCTTCTACATCATCAAACCATCGCGATTTTTCGACCAGTGAGTGCTGCCGCAGGGACATCGATGACACGGCCTGGGCCGAATGGTGTTACATATCTTCGTTCGCTTCTGCGAACATGTCTGCAGGGTCTCCGGGGCACAGATGTTGACACGCAGAGGTTTCCCGCTAGAACATTTCAGCCTCCGCAGATCTCGATCGAAACCTGTGCAGATCAGGGGAATGGTCGAACACTACCTCGAGACCCGTAGGCAGAAGTTCTGGGTTGTCAATACCACGACCAAGGTGGTTCACCTACCCGGAGTATCCGAAACATCCACCGGCACGCCATCTGCTGGTGGCCGTGTACGAGGTTTGCCCCGCACAAGAGTGACCCAGCGGCCCGAATTTGCAAACGATGCTTTAGACTCCGAGAGGCGCAAGATTTCTCGGAGAACCAACTCGAGTTTGTCGCAAATTTGGCGGACACGGTCTTGTCGACTGGATTAGCAGAATAAGAATAGCTGGGATCGATGTAGCCGCCGATGTCATTGCCAGGTACCTTCACGCCGTTGGCATCAGGTCCCACGCAACGATTGCCGCCTCCATCAACGAAGACTCCGTGGTCAACGGCTTGATCACCGCGCTCAAGGCAGGGGTCCGTGTGGGCACGATGGAGTACAAGCTGGCTGATGACGTCGAAGAGCATGCGCTCAAAGCAGTGGCTGGTGCTGAGCCGGTCGGCGAGACACACTTACCAGTCCTCGTTCAACCCTGCACCGACAGCGGCGGGGGCATCGCCGGCCGCTGCGGCCAGTACGATTGCAACCGACAAAGACACGCTCCCCAAGACCTTGCGCAACTACGCGATGCTCGTCGAGAACTGCAGCAAAGTGACACTGGATGGAGTGGACCGAACATTCCCGGAGAAGCAACTTTTGGGAGCTGTAAAGTTCCTTGCGCGAATGTACCACGAACACCATAATACCTCCAAAGTGTACACCGCCACGCCGCTCGGCGAAGTTACGGCGCAACGAGTTTAGACGACTTTCAACGCCGCCAATCGATGAGAAGAACCAGATCGCCGAGAAGACCCAAGACGATTGGGATGTATGCGGACAGTGGATGCTCATCGATGCCACACAGGCGATTCTCATTCGGCCTGGATACTGCTAAAGTACGACTCCGAGACAGCTATCAACAAATACGTCGACTGGTTTTGTACACAAGAGACATTTGCGGACCGTCGCCGAGGACTTCATGGTAGACATCGACGTGATTCTTCAACAACCATTTTCGAAAAGGCAGCGATTCTCAAAGAGTTCCGCTCCGACATGCGCTGGCAAAGGGAAAGGCTATCAGCCCAGATGGTCCCCGCTAGGGAAAGGGCGCAGGTGTCGCTCGACGAATACTTCGACGGCAACCCGCTCCGCCGTCGCAATGGCCCCCGACACCACCACCGAGTTGGCCTCCTATGGTCCCTGGTCCCCACTCCGAACCTACTGTTCAACCCGTTGCCCACTTACTCGCCTACACCGAAAGGGCAACAAGGGCAACGGCAAGAAGGGTAAGTTCGTCACGGGGGCAAGAAATAGGGACAGCACGGACGATGGCATCGGCGCCGCGAGCAAGGCCCTCCGACAAACCAACGATAACATACTCCTCACAGTTTCGTAGGAGATTGACGAGCGTTGCACGAGCTTCGTCACCGAGAAATTGTCGGCAGTACAAGTGGAAGATGTGGCCAGTTCTGACGTCGAAAAGGTCGCCGAACACATCCAGACAACGCTGCTGAACCAACAGTTCATCGTGGTCATTATTGCAGACCACAGCATCCATTTGGGTCAATTTCCTTTCGACGTCCTCCCAATCGATGGAGGTCAGAGTCGCTTCCGGTGTACCACTGCGCCGTCAGCGGCGTTAACGATAGCGGGCTGGGTGCGGTACCACGTTCTCGATGACTGTCTCGATGGGAGCTCCGCGAAATTTTTGTCGAATTCAGCGTTCGATATGGATTGTCCATCGGTGCCTTGCGGGAACATCCTCAACCTGGAGAAATCGGGGCAAGGTGGTGGCGCCGACTACACAATCCGATCTCGTGAACTACACCCCCGCGATTCAGGCGAAAGGCTTCTCTTTGCCCACGTGCCTACAGAGTGGGACGAAGTTGTTTCACTGTTTTCCTGGAACGGTGAAACAATTGACGACGACCGTGACACAACCCGATGGTAGACCGACGCAGCCCAAAAACAAACACCGACAACTCTCGGCCGAGACCATCGAGAAGTGGACAAAAGACAGTCATCGATGTCCACCATGGCAATACGAGGAACAATTCCTGGTCCAATGGCCTGATGGCACATTTTCCACGGCTCGAACAAGTACAAGGTACCGCCCCTCTGGCGGGAGGCGATGCAACCAGCGAAGCCATCGCTCTGGGCAACGTTTGGCACCTTCCTACTGCGATTTGGGTGTTGTTCCTTGTACTATTAAGTCCTCCATATGTGGTAATCATTGGGGGCGCCGTCAAACTATTTATTAGTGGTTTCGGAGTGATTTCCTAGTGATTCAGAATAGTGGTTTTGAGCAGGAGATTTTAGTGGCATCTCCGACCCTAGTGATTTCTTGGTGATGCGCTTGCGTGGCCCGCCACACAGACTCCGAACCTAGTGATTTCTTAGTGATGCGCTTCCGCGGCCCGCCGCAAAGACCGGATGTGATTCACGCCCGCCCTGGGGTTTTGTTGCGATGAGGGAGCACCGGTCACTCGCAGCTTGCATTGGGGGAACGATGTGGCTCCGTTTGTTTGTCTCAGGTTTGAAGTTTGATGCGATGACGGGGTGCTGATGTGCTGATCATTCGCAGCTTCCAATGTGATGTCGGGCGCGACGCAAGGTATCTCTGCACGTCAGACCGTCAGTCTCTTAGTGACAAACCCCACTCCGGCGGGGGAGGCTGCAACACGCATCACTAATTAATTACTCATGGCGGGGGAGCCTCCACGACGCATCACTGATTAATCACTATGGCGGGGGAGCCTCCAAACCACATCATTCATAAACCACTATCCCGAAGGGGAGCCTCCAGGACGCATCACTAATTAATCACTATGGCGGGGGAGCCTCTAAACCGCATCACTAATAAATCACTATCCCGAATCACTCCGAAATCACTATCCTTCCGCCTCCCCACCCTTCCCCCGCAATCCCTCCAGAATCACTCCGAAATCACTATTTCCTAAGGAAATAGTGATTTCGGAGTGATTCTGGAGGGCTTAGGAAATAGTGATTTTGGAGTGATTCTGGAGGGGCTCCGGGACAGGATCACTCCAGAATCACTCCGAAATCACTATTTCCTTAGGAAATAGTGATTTCGGAGTGATTCTGGAGGATTCTGGAGACCCTTCCAGAATCACTCCAAAATCACTATTTCCTTTAAGAGGCCAGAATCACTCCAAAAT